TTCACAAAACCACATGGACTTCACCGGATCACACCACGCAAAACCAAATCGACCATATCTTCATCAACAAAAAGTTCAAGAGGACGATAAAAGATGTGGAAACTAAGAGAGGAACTGATAAAGCATCAGATCATCACTTGCTGGTCGCCAAGATGCAATCGAAACTCAAGAACTACTGAACAACGTAGTGGACAATATCACAAAAGTTAAATACGGCTTTTCTTCGGCATACTGACAAACTCAAGATAGCCCTCAGAAATAAGTTCCAGGCCTTTCATGATCTACTCAGTGGAGAAGGAACTACTGTGGAGAGCAACTGGAAGGGGATCAAAGAAGCAAACACTTCAACATGCCATGATGTTCTGGGTCACAAGAAGCACCACCACAAGGAATGAATCACCGTTGATACACTGGATAAGATTCAAGAAAGAGGAAAAAGAAGGCAGCAATCAATACCAGTCGAACAAGAGCAGAAAAAGCCAAGGCACAAGCTGAATACACAGAAGTAAACAAGCAAGTGAAGAGGAGCATCAGAACCGACAAACGTAAATATGTGGAAGATCTAGCAACTCCGCCTGTAGCTCTTATAGGGTTACTGCCGGTCCCAAGCCCGGTCGTCGCCCACCTCTGCTCACCGTCGTTCTTGTTCTGCCCTCGTACTTAGTGCTATACCTACACCAGCCAGTCCACGAGAACTAGTCATCAGGTCGCCAGATAAACGCAGGATGTGTTTTGTCAGCTCCCCGCCTTGGTGAGGTGCGGTCGAATGAATGATCACACTAAGATCCTGTATGCGTGTTTCGAAGACACAGCAAACATCAACGGTACGAGATTAGAGGGTTTTAACCAAAGAGGCCTGCTGGTCGATTTGGCATAGGGTGTGTATGTTGAAGGCTCCAATGTGTAGTTCGGAGCGAGGTTTCAGTAGACCTGGGACAGTGTTTCGCTCACTAGAATCGTTGGCCACGGTTACACTTGGGGAAGAAGCCAAAAAAGGAAGTTATAGTTGAAAGTTGAGATGGGAAGAATAATAGGAATTGAAGAGGGAAATTGATTATGAATACAGCGGTCTTGAATGTTGTTAGAGATATGAGAGCGGCTTTAACATGCCGGTTGCCCACACCGAGGAAGTGTTCTTATAGTAGTACCTGAAAAGGAAATTGGGTTAGAGTTGGTCTTAATGACCTGATAGCATGAACAGTGTCCAAGGGGCAACGGCTTGAGGCAAGTCACACACGACCTTTTTGTGCAATTTTCGTATTAGCTCCGTTGATACACTGGATAAGATTCAAGAAAGAGGAAAAAGAAGGCAGCAATCAATACCAGTCGAACAAGAGCAGAAAAAGCCAAGGTACAAGCTGAATACACAGAAGTAAACAAGCAAGTGAAGAGGAGCATCAGAACCGACAAACGAAAATATGTGGAAGATCTAGCAACGACGGTGGAAAAGGCTGCAAGAGAAGGAAACATGAGACAACTGTATGACACGACAAAGAATCTCTCTGGAAATCACCGTAATCCAGAACGACCAGTGAAAAGCAAGAAAGGCAAGGTAATGACCAACATTGAAGAACAACGAAACAGGTGGGTAGAACACATCAGACAAATCAAGAGTGGCAAAGCAACAGGACCAGACAACATTCCAGCAGAGGCACTGAAAGCAGACGTAGCGGCAACTGCAAGGATACTCCACATTCTCTTGAATAAGATTTGGGATGAGGAACAAGTACCAACAGACTGGAAACAAGGACTTCTGGTCAAAATACCGAAGAAAGGCGATTTCAACGACTGTGATAACTACAGGGGCATCACTCTTCTTTCAATACCGGGAAAAGTCTTCAACAGGGTATTGTTAAACAGAATGAAGGACTAAGTAGACGCCCAACATCGTGACCAACAGGCAGGATTCCGTAAGGATAGATCATGTACAGACCAAATCGCAACTCTACAGATCATTGTGTAACAATCAATTGAACGGAATTCATCACTCTAAATCAACTCGATTGACTAAAAGAAAGCATTTGATAGTGTGGACAGAACAACACTATGGAAGCTTCTTCGATACTACGGCGTGCCTCAGAAGATAGCCAATATCATACGGAATTCGTATGATAGATTAAACTGTAAAATTGTGCAAGGAAGACAGGTCACAGATTCATTCGAAGTAAAGACCGGTGTCAGACAAGGTTGCTTACTCTCACCCTTTCTCTTTCTCCTGGTGATCGACGGGATCAAGACAACTGTCAACTAACACCAAGGTCAGGATTTTCAATACAAATGTCAAGACAGTTCTACTGTACGGGGCGGAAACCTGGAGAACTACGAAAGCCATCATCCAGAAAATACAGGTTTTTATTAACAGTTGTCTACGCAAAATACTTCAGATCCGTTGGCCGGACACTATTAGCAACAATCAACTGTGAGAGAGAGCAAACCAGATCTCAGCGGAGGAAGAAATCAGGAAGAAGCGCTGGAAGTGGATAGGACACACATTGAGGAAAGCACCCAACTGCGTCACAAGACAAGCCGTCACATGGAATCCTCAAGGCCAAAGGAAAAGAGGAAGACCAAAGAACTCATTACACCGGAAAATGGAGATAGACATGAGAAAAATGAACAAGAATCGGATGAAATTAGAAAAGAAGGCCCAGGACAAAGTGGGTTGGAGAATGCTGGTCGGCGGCCTATGCTCCATTAGGAGTAAGTAAAGTAATATAGTGATCTGTAATAAAACAAGAAAATACAGTTCAATGACGACACGACTTTCTTAAGTTAATGTGATTGTGTTTCCAACCCATTAACACATGATTGTCGGTTAATGAACAATATAGTACGACTATCACTCATATGACTTTACAGGACATGTAAGAGGTTGCTTAATAGTAATGTAACAAAAAGTAGAACCTCATAGAGGACACATTTTCGGTAAATCAAATGTGGTAACTTCGAATGCTCTTTTAACAAAGGAGAAAAAATTGCTTACTATGCCAGTAGATGGACCGGCCAGTTGGATCATTTCTATTAACTTTAGAAATCCACTTGAGGTAATGATTAGGAATTAACTTTACGAAGCGTGCATGACTCATTCAGCATTTATATGGATGATTAAGCCGTATATTCAGAAATTATCAATAAATGTTTTGAATTTAGCCTATAACATCTGAGTCATGTTTAGACCTCAAAAAAAGACACTAGCAATAAACGGCTTAATTTCTAACACACACGTCACCGTTTGGTTTCTCAGACGAATGTTTTGACTAAAGAACATGAGAATATTTTTCAAATGATTTATGTACGAATTTTACGATTGCAAGTCAAAATATTGACCAATGGCTTAAAAGTACGCTTGACTGCCTAGTATGGGAGATCATGGAGAACTTCAACAGAGCCTTTGATTAATTAGACTGTGAACTATTTCTAGTAACATCTCAGGCTGTTTGATTTATAACAAAAAATGTTAGACAAAATATGCTCAAATGAACTTCGTCTTAATAGTTTCTAGGTTAATACTCTAAAAAAATTGAGCTGCGAGAACTTCATAATATATACTTCAAAACCCTTGAAATTTTAAGTTACGAGGTTCGACGACATAGATATATAGTATGAAATCAGTACCAACCACAGGAAAACTCCCTCGACAAGGATGAAATTTATTCACACACCTTGAAAAAGAGTCGAAAATTGGAATACAGTGATAGGGTAGGCTAAATGAAGGCCTATGTTCATCAAATTTAGACACTGTTGGTCTTATTCGATAAAGCACCTTAGGATAACTATTTGTAACACATTACAAGGTATAGAACATGAATAGGTGTGAGCGCATATCCCGAATCTTGTTGCGTGTATATGTTTCCCATAAGTTTTAAATAAATGACTACTTTATTAACTAAGATATTCTTTTTAATTGGGGCATGCTGTGATTTTATTTCCAAAAACATCAGCACGTAGGATTACTGTCTCACTTTACTTCGATTTCAACAAAATGACAGCAAATAATGTAATCAACTTAACATAGAATTGACAAAAATTGGAACGTAGATTTAAATAAATTCGATAATTATGTACAGTATATACTGAAAAAAATAACTATACTTAATATGAAATGATTCAAACGTTCATTTGTCATAGAGCAAAGCTAACTGTTCATCAGTCAAATTAAACCCCTGTCTTATAATACGTTCTTTCTTCTTTTCTAAATTCATTTTCCTTATCATATATTTCGAGTCCATTTTAATGGATGAGTGACGAAGTCGTCCCACATCTTTGGGATATTCAACTGCTTTTGAATCACCTGCGCTGAAATGTGTAATTCTTGCAGTATTTGTTTTATTCGGCCATCCAAAACCGAGACGATCGCGTTTTAAAACAGTTGCTACAGGAAAGCGTCGACCTTGTCTGGAAGCACCTAAACCGCCATTTTTAATGCAGAAACGTGATTTATACTCGTTAGTTGAAATGCCAGACAGTACTTTCGAAGTCTTCAGTTCTTCATATCCTGGATCGAGGGCACCATCACGCCAACCTATTCTAGTTAAAAGTTGGTAACCTTTATTTGAAGGAGGAATTAACAACGGCGATGGTTTCGAACTTTTTTCTGACATCTCAGCCATTTGATGACCAATGGATGAAACGTGTTTCTTAAAATCACTATAAGATCCACCACATACGGAACATTTATATAAATTTGAACCAAGTGACGAGTATTCCAACTTTTGAGTTACGCACTGTGTAAGTGATTCATAAAAATCTTTTACTTCTTGACCAGAGAGATTAAAGTCTTCAACTTTTGGAGACGCATCTGTTCTAGTTTCAGGACACCTCAGTGTTCCCAACACAGAACTTCGAACAAAAGTTCTGTTAAGCAAGGTTTTATCCACATTCTGAAATATAAGACAATGTACGTTAATTATTATGAATTATTGCACATATAAATTGAATAAAAGTGGAGATATTGACAGAAATTATCTTTATTTAAAAGATGACAGTATGTTGAGTTGAAGTCATGCAGGAAATTTTGGTCCACCGTTACGATAGTTTCCAGATATGTCGGCTGAGCTAAAGTCCATACCAGGGTTTTCTATTTGTAGTCTCTGAATGGTAAGGTTTCGTTCCATTTCATCAAGAACTAGTGGATTGGCCTTCCAGTTATCGGTCATTAAAGAATACCAACAGGTACCTGGACTAGCTTTGATCAGACACATAACCATCTACAAGATGGAATAAACAATGATAAAATGGGCGTTTAAAATAAGTTTATTCTACTACAATGAACCGTTGTGAAATATTTCTGTCAAAAAAATAAATGTGCTTCATATACCAACACAACAAGAATAGTACTTAAAACTTTCAACAAATAGTGTATTTCAAAGTGAAAACTATCATGTGTCAACTTCAACAAGGTTTACTTCTACGTATCTCTATCATCTGTTTGACTGATAATGAAACCAGAAAAGTTTGAACAGAAGGAAGTAAAATACGTATACGGTTATTCAGTACTAAAGTCTGCATTGCTTATCAAAATTGTATACATGATATTCTAATAGGCTTTTGTTTTCAGTTGATGAATCTTCAAATGAGATAAAAAAGTACTGAAAAATTGGTGCAGTTCTATAGTGAATAATAAACAGCAGTACTAGAAAAATACACTAATTTACTTTATCATACTTCAAATAAAGCGGTGAGAAATCAGATCACAACCACTAATCCAACATTTCTCTACAAGTTGTCAGTTTTATACGTAGAATCCTACTTTATCTAATATGCGTTAATTCTGGTACAAATAGGCAACAAAAAAGGTATGTTCTATACAAATAAGGAAATAGTATTGTGAAGAAATAAAGGGAAGGGAAGTACAATAAAAAAAGATGAGTGATCGAGATTAATGTAGACTAAGAGGTATAGTTTAGATACAAAGACATTCACGAAGGACGCTTCAAGCCACTAATTCGCATCATTTCTAGGACATCAACCAAAGTCATAATAAACAGGCAGACGCTAAACATAACGAATTTTATACCAAGGCGCCAAATATAAAATCAAAATCACTACCTTGCCATCCATTTTTGCTGTTATTAAATTAAACCACAGTGTGGAAGCCACTGGGATCAAGTTCGTAACACATATACAAAAACACCGAGGCCGGTGTTTCGAAGTGATAATACCAATCGAATTATTGTCACTGCACCCGGACACATTGCCGAACCTCAAATTTACTAGCATGATGTTCCCATTCCTTCGGATACAATGAGGATTGAAAACAGAGTCGTTTAACATCTCTAACACTGAGATGTCAGGTTTTACAAACATAAACCAAAAGTACTCTAACACATTATAAACCTGTCCTCTAACACCCAGAATAACATCATGACGGTACGAAAATGGCTCAGACTTATATGAGCCGTTCTACATTTTACTGTACGCTACCATTGTCAACTGAGTAACTGCGGTTAGCATAGCTTAATTATAATCCCACAGCAATGTAGTATAATCCGTATATTCAGTCTTTCTCCAGGAGACAGATCAGTATCATCACTACTTACTTCCATCGGTACTGCAATCGATGGCGAAGTTGAAGAGTAGTGAAACTGTGAAACCCTGCCTAACCCCACTGGTTGAATGGAACAATGAAGAGAGATTATTGTATCACCTCGCTGTCTGAGGCATTTGTATATAAAGAATTTAAGACACGCATAAACTCGGGCACAGCCTACTTCAACGGACAATCACAGAACACAGTCTTGTTCAACGAATTGAAGGCGCCCCTAGCATTAAGCAACACAATGATCGTTCGTTTGAAATAAATACCGCGCTGATATAACATTTGGGGGAGTGCTATTTTATGATTAGTTCATCCAAGACAAGAACGAAAACAAGCCAGCTCCTGGCGAGTTAGGCGTTTGTGGGGTTCGTATTATTTGTGAAGTATGACAGAAACCAATAGTTTGGACGTCGATGAAAGTAGACTAATTCCCCGATAGTTGTCGAACAGATTATCTAGCCTCTTTTCAAAGATGGAGACGATGCTCGTTTCATTTGTTTTAGGACATTCTCTTTCTTGAATTTTTCCAAACAACGCAGTCAGTTCTCTGACCAGAACTTAACTACCATTTTTAAAAGAGCCTGGAAGACCATCTGAACCTGATGACTTACGATACTTCGTAACTCGGAGTCCCTCGTTAAGTGGCTCAGTCACCGACGGTCAGGGAGGACAAGACAATTCGGTCGACACTGATGGGACAGCATAAATGCTGAACTGTCCGTCAAAAAACTTAATCCATCTTTTGAGACGCTTTTAAATGTTACTTAATTGTGTATCATTAGCTACACAATTTGCTTCGCTGAAACCTGACTGCCCGCTGTGGGTGGCTGGGATTCGCTAAAACAGCTTTCAGTAGTTGGTAAATGCAGCTGCAGCTTTCAGCTCACTAGCACACTCGAACTAACATATTTCTATGTCCTTAGGGAAACTTTGCAAAATAACTCGGCATACAATGTTCCAGTTTCGGTGTTAACGAAAATTGGTGAATATTAATGTATATATCAACAAGGAGAAAACAAATATCCTCATGAACTAATTGACCACGTTTCAGAACCGATTTACGTAATTAAGAGGCTTCGTCTAATTTCTACACCATTCTTAATGCCTATTCAAGCTCTTAACAACTACATTCTTAATCTCTTAGTAAAGATAACATCTCTGTGCTTTTAATATGTGGATGCCCTTAAGAAATTACTGTAATAATTAAGTAGCATGTAACCAATTATCGTTGTAGAAAAATATAGATTTGAGAATTTACAGCTCTAAGAATGAAATCGCCGAAAAGAGATCTTCATGCCAAATCAATAAATTTTATTTAACTTACGATGTGGGATGACAGTTAACCTTATAGATTTCTGTTAGTTTGTAGGTCCAAAATTTTTTCATTTTCCTTAAATATAAATCCATATTACGCAACCTCTTGTTCCAAGACTTGTTCGACTTTTACGATAACATATGTTATGAGGGCAGTATGGGTGATTTTCACCACACCGTAAAATTATGTATTGCAGTGTATAGTTCAAATAGAATGATTTGGAATAATAACGGTACTAAATAATTACGGTTAATAAGTTAGGGTTTACTTTGCTGAGTTTGAAATTTTGTATGGTGTTACAGAAACTTACGTGCTTCTTTTCATGAAGGCTCCAGGTGGATTCACTTGCCTTTATAAGGCTAAATAAGTTACCTGATACCAATGGCTGCTGACCAACAAAACCACAAGTGATTGTACTATTGGTAATTTTACATACGATTTGCTTCACGTCTACGATTTGTCGGAATGGAATTTCGATAAAAACTTCTTGAATTGTTTGCCACCAGCCCCCCCATTCAAATGAGGCACAAATTGATCCAGATTGTCCTTTGAAATGTGTCCGTAGAAAAAAATCAATTAGTACATTAATCAGTAAATGACAAAAAGATTAACAAACGTTCAGTAGTAGTATGATGAATACGCGCTAGGTATAAAATTAATTGGAAAGTTAATGCAACTCAAAAACCGACTGGATTTTTACTTGCTCGACTGAGTCATACCTACTATGAGTTTTTTTTTTAAAAAAAGGGAGACTGAATGACATGGCTCAAGATCGTTTGCAATGGTGCAGGTAAGTAAGTAAGTAAGTAAGTAAGTAAGTAAGTAAGTAAGTAAGTAAGTAAGTAAGTAAGTAAGTAAGTAAGTAAGTAAGTAAGTAAGTAAGTAAGTAAGTAAGTAAGTAAGTAAGTAAGTAAGTAAGTAAGTAAGTAAGTAAGTAAGTAAGTAAGTAAGTAAGTAAGTAAGTAAGTAAGTAAGTAAGTAAGTAAGTAAGTAAGTAAGTAAGTAAGTAAGTAAGTAAGTAAGTAAGTAAGTAAGTAAGTAAGTAAGTAAGTAAGTAAGTAAGTAAGTAAGTAAGTAAGTAAGTAAGTAAGTAAGTAAGTAAGTAAGTAAGTAAGTCAGTCAGCTACAACGTAGAACCATGCACTTATGTGCATCGGTCCAGGTTGCCATACCGCATCAGCACAACAAGATGAACACCGGATTCATAACAGTGGTTAGGTAAAAGGTGGTAATATATAAGAGAAAGATTGCATATAGAGATATAGTACAAGAAGAAAGAATTGGTTAGTAGAAAGAAAGATATGAAATAATTTCAGTCTCTTAGTTTAAGGGAAGACAGGGAGTGTATACACCGACGCCATTGTGATCGATTCTGAGCCATGTCACCAAGAGTCTCCAACCATTGGTTACGATAGTCACGCGGACCCCAACCAAGTAGTCTGCATCTACCAACATGGCTCAGACTAGAAGTTAGTGACTTCAAGCACTGATGCCACGTTTTGGTTTGGCCGCCCCTAATTCTCTTCCAACCATCCCCAACACCGGATAGCATTGCACGTCGTGGTAATCGGTGTTCAGGCATACGTAACACGTGGCCCAACCATCTCAGTCGATGAAGATTCATAACCTCATCAACTGATTTACCATCCTTTCCTAATACCCTGCGTCTAACCTCACTATTACTTACCCGATTATCCCAGCAGACGCCAGCAATATTTCTAAGGCATCTGTGGTCAAATACTAGCAGCTTGCGAGTGTCTTCTACTCTTAATGGCCATGTTTCGCTACCGTAAAGTAAAACAGAACGGACTGCCGCGCAGTATACTCGTCCTTTTATTGATAGACGGATATCTCGCCTTCGCCACAGGTGACGTAAGTTGGCAAAAGCCAAACGAGCTTTTCGAATCCGTGCTGAGATTTCGTCCGATACCAACCCATTAGGGCTGATCAGACTTCCAAGATAAGTGAAGTTGTCAACGCGTTCGACTACTTCACTCCCTATCCTTAGTTCAGGTGTTAACGCAGACCAGTCCTGAAGCAACAACTTGCATTTCGAGGGAGAGAAGCGCATTCCAAACATTCTGGCATTGTTGCTCAGTGCTACCAGAAGACTTTGCATTTTGTCAGCGTCTTCACCAAACAGGACTATGTCATCTGCGTATTCTAAGTCGATAAGTGGACCTGCTGGAAAGAGATCAATACCCGAGAACTCAGTCGACGAGAAAGTTATTTCCATCAGTAGGTCTATGATGAAGTTAAACAAAAATGGGGAAAGTGGGCATCCTTGACGGACACCACTTGAGGTTGCAAAAGTAGATGACAGTTCGCCATAAGTTCTCACTCGACTAGTAGTGTTCGAGTAAAGAGCCTTCACAAGGTTTATGTACTTCTGAGGTACGCCTTTCAATGACAGACACTGCCACAGAACCTCGCGGTCTACCGAGTCAAATGCTGCTTTTAAGTCAAGAAAGACCACCATCGTCGGACGTCGATAAGTGTGCCTGTGTTCTAGAACCTGACGAATGGTGAATATGTGGTCGAGTAAGTAAGTAAGTAAGTAAGTAAGTAAGTAAGTAAGTAAGTAAGTAAGTAAGTAAGTAAGTAAGTAAGTAAGTAAGTAAGTAAGTAAGTAAGTAAGTAAGTAAGTAAGTAAGTAAGTAAGTAAGTAAGTAAGTAAGTAAGTAAGTAAGTAATTAAGTAAGTAAGTAATTAAGTAATTAAGTAAGTAAGTAAGTAAGTAAGTAAGTAAGTAAGTAAGTAAGTAAGTAAGTAAGTAAGTAAGTAAGTAAGTAAGTAAGTAAGTAAGTAAGTAAGTAAGTAAGTAAGTAAGTAAGTAAGTAAGTAAGTAAGTAAGTAAGTAAGTAAGTAAGTAAGTAAGTAAGTAAGTAAGTAAGTAAGTAAGTAAGTAAGTAAGTAAGTAAGTAAGTAAGTAAGTAAGTAAGTAAGTAAGTAAGTAAGTAAGTAAGTAAGTAAGTAAGTAAGTAAGTAAGTAAGTAAGTAAGTAAGTAAGTAAGTAAGTAAGTAAGTAAGTAAGTAAGTAAGTAAGTAAGTAAGTAAGTAAGTAAGTAAGTAAGTAAGTAAGTAAGTAAGTAAGTAAGTAAGTAAGTAAGTAAGTAAGTAAGTAAGTAAGTAAGTAAGTAAGTAAGTAAGTAAGTAAGTAAGTAAGTAAGTAAGTAAGTAAGTAAGTAAGTAAGTAAGTAAGTAAGTAAGTAAGTAAGTAAGTAAGTAAGTAAGTAAGTAAGTAAGTAAGTAAGTAAGTAAGTAAGTAAGTAAGTAAGTAAGTAAGTAAGTAAGTAAGTAAGTAAGTAAGTAAGTAAGTAAGTAAGTAAGTAAGTAAGTAAGTAAGTAAGTAAGTAAGTAAGTAAGTAAGTAAGTAAGTAAGTAAGTAAGTAAGTAAGTAAGTAAGTAAGTAAGTAAGTAAGTAAGTAAGTAAGTAAGTAAGTAAGTAAGTAAGTAAGTAAGTAAGTAAGTAAGTAAGTAAGTAAGTAAGTAAGTAAGTAAGTAAGTAAGTAAGTAAGTAAGTAAGTAAGTAAGTAAGTAAGTAAGTAAGTAAGTAAGTAAGTAAGTAAGTAAGTAAGTAAGTAAGTAAGTAAGTAAGTAAGTAAGTAAGTAAGTAAGTAAGTAAGTAAGTAAGTAAGTAAGTAAGTAAGTAAGTAAGTAAGTAAGTAAGTAAGTAAGTAAGTAAGTAAGTAAGTAAGTAAGTAAGTAAGTAAGTAAGTAAGTAAGTAAGTAAGTAAGTAAGTAAGTAAGTAAGTAAGTAAGTAAGTAAGTAAGTAAGTAAGTAAGTAAGTAAGTAAGTAAGTAAGTAAGTAAGTAAGTAAGTAAGTAAGTAAGTAAGTAAGTAAGTAAGTAAGTAAGTAAGTAAGTAAGTAAGTAAGTAAGTAAGTAAGTAAGTAAGTAAGTAAGTAAGTAAGTAAGTAAGTAAGTAAGTAAGTAAGTAAGTAAGTAAGTAAGTAAGTAAGTAAGTAAGTAAGTAAGTAAGTAAGTAAGTAAGTAAGTAAGTAAGTAAGTAAGTAAGTAAGTAAGTAAGTAAGTAAGTAAGTAAGTAAGTAAGTAAGTAAGTAAGTAAGTAAGTAAGTAAGTAAGTAAGTAAGTAAGTAAGTAAGTAAGTAAGTAAGTAAGTAAGTAAGTAAGTAAGTAAGTAAGTAAGTAAGTAAGTAAGTAAGTAAGTAAGTAAGTAAGTAAGTAAGTAAGTAAGTAAGTAAGTAAGTAAGTAAGTAAGTAAGTAAGTAAGTAAGTAAGTAAGTAAGTAAGTAAGTAAGTAAGTAAGTAAGTAAGTAAGTAAGTAAGTAAGTAAGTAAGTAAGTAAGTAAGTAAGTAAGTAAGTAAGTAAGTAAGTAAGTAAGTAAGTAAGTAAGTAAGTAAGTAAGTAAGTAAGTAAGTAAGTAAGTAAGTAAGTAAGTAAGTAAGTAAGTAAGTAAGTAAGTAAGTAAGTAAGTAAGTAAGTAAGTAAGTAAGTAAGTAAGTAAGTAAGTAAGTAAGTAAGTAAGTAAGTAAGTAAGTAAGTAAGTAAGTAAGTAAGTAAGTAAGTAAGTAAGTAAGTAAGTAAGTAAGTAAGTAAGTAAGTAAGTAAGTAAGTAAGTAAGTAAGTAAGTAAGTAAGTAAGTAAGTAAGTAAGTAAGTAAGTAAGTAAGTAAGTAAGTAAGTAAGTAAGTAAGTAAGTAAGTAAGTAAGTAAGTAAGTAAGTAAGTAAGTAAGTAAGTAAGTAAGTAAGTAAGTAAGTAAGTAAGTAAGTAAGTAAGTAAGTAAGTAAGTAAGTAAGTAAGTAAGTAAGTAAGTAAGTAAGTAAGTAAGTAAGTAAGTAAGTAAGTAAGTAAGTAAGTAAGTAAGTAAGTAAGTAAGTAAGTAAGTAAGTAAGTAAGTAAGTAAGTAAGTAAGTAAGTAAGTAAGTAAGTAAGTAAGTAAGTAAGTAAGTAAGTAAGTAAGTAAGTAAGTAAGTCCGTACTTGTTGGAACCTTACCACCGGAGACGGAAATCCGTGGGATAAGGCGAGGTGTTTATTTTTAGGATCGACCTTTTCTAACTCCACCTCTCTTTAAGGGAAGGCAGCATCGCTGTTATGCTGGCTGTCTGAAGGCAGCACCTTACTGCCGTCACACCTCTGTACAGTCAGCAGTACGACTTCATCCTCAGACCTTGGGCTTACTGATTTTAGTCTTACCACCCTTCAACCTACCTGTCTGGCATGGTGGGACCTTGAGGAACGATGGTTCTAGCCAGTATAGCGCGACTAGCTCCTCACAATAGGCAAGCGCGACCACCACATCAAGGTAGCAGCAACAGTCAGGCTCTGTTCATTCAAGTTAATAAAATTATCAATAACCATACATTAGTAGTCAAACATTATTTAACATGCAATTGTTTATATTTTGATAATGGGTAGGAAAAGTCTTGTTCAGCAGATCGATGTACTGTGTGGGAAACGTTCACTATTATGAAATCGTGTATAATTATTAGGAAACAGAGATATAAATAGAATAATATCCTTACCAAGAAGTCGATCATTTCGGATTATAAATTCAGCTTCATGGACAGGATGACTAGATTTAATTCGGCGAGACTCTAATTTAGGGACGAGCCAATCAGAAGCGTTTGAGCAATTTCAAGGTCACGGGGCCAAGTTCAACACGCGATGCTAACATACGATCGGTTCACAGCGGATTTTAGAGAGTAGGTGATTAATAAGAGGTTAAAACAGATGGGACGGCGAGACTCTAATTTAGAGACGAGCCAATCAGAAGCGTTTGAGCAATTCCAATTATTAGCCAATTAGAAGACAATATAAAGTAAAAATGTATTACAAGAAAGTAATGAATTACAGTAGATATTCTTCTTTTACCTGATTTAAAAACCTGTTAAGGTTTGATAAAGGCTCAGAAGTTCTGAATTCATAATGCATATGGTATAGAAACTCGTCCATAGGGTTAGGGTTTAGGGTTAGAGGCTAGGGTTAGGTCAGGGTTTAGGGTTAGGTTTAAGATTACGGTTAGGTTAGGGTTTAGGGTTAAGTTTAAGATTATGGTTAGGTTAGGGTTTAGGGTTAGGTTAGAGTTAGGGTGCTAACTTGCGATCGGTTTACATCGAATTTTATAGGTGTTTATTGAGATGCTACAACCATAACCCTATGGACGAGTTTCTATACCATATGCATTATGAATTCAGAGCTTCTGAACCTTTATGAAACCTCAACAAGTTTTTAAATTAAATAAAAGAAGAATATACACTTTAATTTTTTACTTATATTTTTCACTTTATAGTTAGTCTCCTGATTAGCTAATAATTGTCAAGGTCATTTAAGACTCGTTCAAAGGTCGTCCTTAAATTAGAGTCTCGCCGATATTAATTTATGCCACAAATATTCGGAATTTAAGAACACCTTTGTATGTGACACTCTTGTGGACAATGTACTGATATATCAACATATTGATAGCTTTCAAAATATATCTTCTAACACTTTCATTTCCGACTTTTGATTTGACTAGTTCGGTATACTTTATAAGAATGTTACATATAAAGGTGTCAAACTTCGTATACCTGTGGAGTATTTAAATAAATCCTAGCGAAGCTTTATGACGATGAAAAAAAATATACTCGAAACAGATACATACGGGTGGTATAAGAAGTTAGGCCACATTAAAACTAGCCTCGACTTGAAAACAGTAAAACCGAATATTAAACATCGGCAACACATAGTTAACTATCAACTAGGATAAAACTCCAAACGAAAATTAACTTACTTGCCGTTAATCACAGGACGAATTCTTTGGATTGAAAATGACACTGTTGTTGTTGCAGGACGCAGTAGAAGTTTATAAATACAAATCACGTTAGGTCTAAACTTCCCGTTTGTAAAACGCGCGCAGTCGATTCGTTTGACAGTTTCCTACCAACGTAAATAGTTAGTCCCTAGAATCCCATTTCTCTGTATCTACTAATATCAAGTTATTTTTTAAACCGAACACAATTTCCAACGGAGCGGGTACAACGGCGGCCTTCCAAGGGAAAATTACTCAACAACAACCACAATATTTGTAGTAAATAAAGAAGATAATACACCTTGAATAACTTTAAACGGCTAGTTCTGGGTTTTTAGATGTCAACATACTACATAATTATACGGAAACAAAGATTTTATGCAACCTAACCCATGCCCGACTAACCTTGAGCACTTCAAATATGGGATGCCTCCCTTGAAGTGTCACTCAAGGTCGTGGTGAATGATTTGACCTGAACTACCCATCCCAGATAAACACTTTCCATTTTTCGATTATGAAGCAGCGGTAACGTATTTGATAGGAAGGGACTTATTAAGAAAGAAGTTCTATGCGATTTTTGTACAGAATTAATACCATTATTATGCTAATTAATTTAGACATACTTGTGTCTATACCAAATTTAGTGTTTATTACTAAGGATAGGTCAATCGACCCACGTTAATCCTTCCGATTTGTAGCACTGTGAAGACCCAATCTTTTCTACAATGTACCAGCTGGATGTGCTGATATCATATTTCCTGGTTGATAATTCCAGTTATTCACTACTTTGAGCAAGAAACGAAACTCCAGATGCTAACCATCAGAAGTAATTAGAAGGAAAATCGTATCTCAATGATCAGAGGTTCCATCGACAAGCCGCGATCGTAATAAGTCGTTAGTATTTTACTGTCATCGATAGAAAACACTACTAAAATATTCTGGTAAAGCTTCAGCATTTGCAGTGTTTCTTTCTAATCTAAGCAGTTTTTTTCACAGAAATTGGTGTAATTTCATCACTCCTCTAAGTCTGCATCTCTATGCCAGAAAAACATTGACGAACTGTTTTCACAATTCTTAACAAATTGCGTATCATATGAATGTCGAGCCTTATCAACGCCTTGCAACCGTTCCTAGTCTTACAATAAGTGAATATGTACTGTTCAGAATCTGTATAGATAAGCGTACGTCAATGCCTTTTCCTACGTCTAAGCAGTTTCTTGACCTGTTTAGTTATGCATGGTGAGTTAAAAGGTCCACGTGTCACTAGGATATAAACGGGGATGTAACTAAACTAAGTGTACCTCTAAGTATAGACCATATCTCTCTAATTGATGAGCTGATATTTACTGACCAGTCCATTTTCTCAGCACTTTTCTGTTTGGCTGTTGTGTTTGCTCTCCACACATTTGAGAAGGGTCCAACCTAACCGTGTATTATGTCGCAAGCCCTAAACACGAGTGACAAAACACCATGATCGGTGTGAGGATATTTAGACAGGCAATATCCTTGGTTATATGAGTGACTACTAAGTTCGAGTTTTGTTTGAACCAAAATGTGTGGGTACGGATACGTGTTGTATAAAGCATGCTCTACTACAGTCATCAGGAGCCTACTATCAAAAGTCTACAGTAACTACGCTGATCATTTCTATCCAATTGGTATCAGGTTCATTAAAATCTAATGTCAGTTATCTGTTATTTTTACTTCATAGCTGAATGTGTTGTAAAATTCATCAGCAGAGTGGATTGGTCTAAGATAGGTGACATAGAGCATAGATCTACAGCCTTCAAAAGTGAGTTCATAGCTAGTTACTTCACAAACACTTCTTCGTGAGATCCGCAAACAAATAAACGGATATTTATATTGTTATTGATGTACATAAGGACCTAGTCCCATTTCTTCCTTCTGTTCCAATCAATTCTTATGTGTTTATGTGTCGACAATTCTGAAGTAACACCAAAGTTATAGACTCACCAAGTTTAGGTCTCAGCTTCGATGAGTAACTTTAATGCGCTCACTAGTACTCCCAGTCCATGGAATTTACTTCAAATACTACGAGCATTCGCTATTAAGACCTGACTACTTGGAAATTCAGTAAGCATGAATTTTCCTTGCTGTGTCGTCAACAGGTTTCTAGTTCAGCCAGTTCAACCTTCTTATTCCGTATCTTACAGAAATTTTAGATCCTCCTTGAATTTCAGTTTTATCTCGACGTCGAGCACTATTTAACACAGGATTTTGCTGTTCGATCGTCCTTAAGTTTATCATAGAGAATCTATGCATTTACAGTTCAAAATTTCCGGTACTCTTATATTTTCTTACCAATTATTTTATCTTAAATTCTGTAGAGTTATCTGCTCAGATTCTACGAATATATACTTCGACATTTTCCAAATCATGGGCGTGTCTAATTTTTGGATCAGAATCGTTTGATTCTGGCAAATTATTCACAATAATATTCAATGAGACCAAACCTTTTCAAGTCACGCTTTGGTTAATCCTGGTTTCACTTTGGAACTTTGGCGTGTTTTTCTGTGAGCCAGAATGGAAGTATGCCGAAGATTTATCAATCAGACGGGCGTTGTTTTTGTCTTTCTCCTTCTGGTTTTTGTTCCCTCACTGTCGTCCATCTCCCATCACTCGGAACAGTCGTATCGTGACTACTTGGAATGGTTATGGTTTTATCCGAGTCTTCATTTACCACTTTAGAATAGAGAACGCCAATATCCAGTGGTACATCGAGATGGTGGAGAAGATTTGTAGCTCAGATGGATGATTTTGGTGGAGTTTTGTTCTCATCCAGCTCAGAGAACAAAACTCCACCAAAACCAGTGGTACTTCATTCCTTGTTTGTTTCAAGGGAGAACATTTAAAAGAAGTTTGCAACTAGATGAATCAGACATTTCTATAGATAGATGTGTTTCAATTTCAAACTCTGTCAGAACAACACGGAACTGCATTTCAACACTTTTAATTGTAAATTGGTCCACATGTTACAAATAAAACTCAACTTATTGTTCATTACAGCTGTCTAACTCGAAAAAAGACACGTTTTTAATCTCTATGGGCAAAACTTGTACTGACAACTTAGGATTTAAAGTAATTAGTCACTTTTATAAATTTCGATATAACAATGAGAAGACGGAGTTGATCTGAAAAATGTCATGTATTTGCGCCATACATTTCGAACAATCTGGTCACGAATATGGTTGTCGGGCCATTTTATATGAAAATTAATAAAGATCAATTAAATGAAAAAATAACGCGACAATTTCTTATTCTTTCTCTCCCCTTTGTTACTTTTTTGACTTGAACTTTCATTTAATTGACCTTTATTAATTTTGATATAAAATACCCTGACAAGTATATGTGTGGCCAGATTTTTCAAAATGTATAGCTCAAATACATCACATTTTTCAAATCAACTCCGTCTTCTCATTGTTCCATCGAAACTTTGAATTTCATTCATATCCAGTTTGTCAATAAGAACCATCAACCAACTTTTGCTTTTGTCATTGATGAGAGTTGTTAGCCAACGCATATTTGGAAGATTTGTGTGGAAGTTTCAATTTCCGTTGAGTTTATACTTCTAGTGTATGTAGTAGTTCGATGACGTGCAGTTCATTCATAATCACACTATTCAGTCTGCGGTTACACTAATTTAACTCTGTATAGAAGCGTCTCTGATGCATAAATGTTAAAGTAGTCACAGTCGTCTTCCATCAGCAACATTGTAGGACTACCCCAATGCAATACTGAAATATGACACTCCCTTTTTATCTTCTGGTTTATTTACGAAAACGCATTCTAAATATTTATTCTAGTCCTTAATAAGCTCTGCTTCACACTTGTAAAAATATAGGGATGATGCCTAGTAACATGGAGGGTTTCAGTCTTTAACAATTCAGTAATATTCTAACTGTTGATTTTATTTTTTGTGATGGCCTGTGTTTATTAGTCCAAGAGACAAGGAAACGCTACTTTACTGCACCCAGGTCAATATTCAAAATATAGGTCACATCTGAGTCTTCAATGAAGGAAACGTACGTGTTGTAACCGCTACTCAACAAACGATTCAAAATCAATGTCAAGAAGTTAGCACCTGGTATTTTGAAACATTGAAAGAAGCCGGCATCTGTAATGCATTATATATATTTGTAAATAGGATAAAACTATACTTTATGAGGATTGATAAGTCTATTCAAACTTGAATCAGTAAAGCAGGTTGCGTATTTACCACATATTTTTTGAAGGCCGAGTGTTTTAGTTGGTTAACCATTGTTCCTAATTCCCAATGCACTCTTTCAATCTTGTTTTAAAAAACCTCTAAAATTTTTATTGAATGTGGTTATATATTATATATCTAGACAACTATCGAACAATTTCGACTGTCACAATACTTTATAATCGTCACATCACTGTGTATTCTCGTTAAGTCTATACAGCTCTGTACTGCTTCTGCTCCTTAAATTCAACTCAGGATTTTTTACTACCCAAAGGTCGGATGAGCGCCGGAAATCCTACGAAATACTATTGTTGTACTAAAAATTTCTATCTTATCATCTATTTCAGATATTTTGTGATCTACACATTTTTAATTCAGATAATATTCCATTAAGAAAAATTTCGGGTGTGGAACTTGTTGATATAGTCCTCACGAAAAACTTCTACGTTAATTGACAGACATATTAGAAGATTTAATTTTTTAGTGTACTGATCGATAATCTCTGCTAAATTCCGATTTCTTATTCCCAGATTTAAATAACTGTGCTTTTCACTGAAGATACTTGATTACAATAAGCTTGATATATTCACCGATCAATCATATTAACAGTTACATCAGGCTTCTGTTTGTCAGGTAACTTATTTAGCCTTATAAAGGCAAGTGAATCCACCTGGAGCCTTCATGAAAAGAAGCACGTAAGTTTCTGTAACACCATACGAAATTTCAAACTCAGCAAAGTAAACCCTAACTTATTAACCGTAATTATTTAGTACCGTTATTATTCCAAATCATTCTATTTGAACTATACACTGCAATACATAATTTTACGGTGTGGTGAAAATCACCCATACTGCCCTCATAACATATGTTATCGTAAAAGTCGAACAAGTCTTGGAACAAGAGGTTGCGTAATATGGATTTATATTTAAGGAAAATGAAAAAATTTTGGACCTACAAACTAACAGAAATCTATAAGGTTAACTGTCATCCCACATCGTAAGTTAAATAAAATTTATTGATTTGGCATGAAGATCTCTTTTCGGCGATTTCATTCTTAGAGCTGTAAATTCTCAAATCTATATTTTTCTACAACGATAATTGGTTACATGCTACTTAATTATTACAGTAATTTCTTAAGGGCATCCACATATTAAAAGCACAGAGATGTTATCTTTACTAAGAGATTAAGAATGTAGTTGTTAAGAGCTTGAATAGGCATTAAGAATGGTGTAGAAATTAGACGAAGCCTCTTAATTACGTAAATCGGTTCTGAAACGTGGTCAATTAGTTCATGAGGATATTTGTTTTCTCCTTGTTGATATATACATTAATATTCACCAATTTTCGTTAACACCGAAACTGGAACATTGTATGCCGAGTTATTTTGCAAAGTTTCCCTAAGGACATAGAAATATGTTAGTTCGAGTGTGCTAGTGAGCTGAAAGCTGCAGCTGCATTTACCAACTACTGAAAGCTGTTTTAGCGAATCCCAGCCACCCACAGCGGGCAGTCAGGTTTCAGCGAAGCAAATTGTGTAGCTAATGATACACAATTAAGTAACATTTAAAAGCGTCTCAAAAGATGGATTAAGTTTTTTGACGGACAGTTCAGCATTTATGCTGTCCCATCAGTGTCGACCGAATTGTCTTGTCCTCCCTGACCGTCGGTGACTGAGCCACTTAACGAGGGACTCCGAGTTACGAAGTATCGTAAGTCATCAGGTTCAGATGGTCTTCCAGGCTCTTTTAAAAATGGTAGTTAAGTTCTGGTCAGAGAACTGACTGCGTTGTTTGGAAAAATTCAAGAAAGAGAATGTCCTAAAACAAATGAAACGAGCATCGTCTCCATCTTTGAAAAGAGGCTAGATAATCTGTTCGACAACTATCGGGGAATTAGTCTACTTTCATCGACGTCCAAACTATTGGTTTCTGTCATACTTCACAAATAATACGAACCCCACAAACGCCTAACTCGCCAGGAGCTGGCTTGTTTTCGTTCTTGTCTTGGATGAACTAATCATAAAATAGCACTCCCCCAAATGTTATATCAGCGCGGTATTTATTTCAAACGAACGATCATTGTGTTGCTTAATGCTAGGGGCGCCTTCAATTCGTTGAACAAGACTGTGTTCTGTGATTGTCCGTTGAAGTAGGCTGTGCCCGAGTTTATGCGTGTCTTAAATTCTTTATATACAAATGCCTCAGACAGCGAGGTGATACAATAATCTCTCTTCATTGTTCCATTCAACCAGTGGGGTTAGGCAGGGTTTCACAGTTTCACTACTCTTCAACTTCGCCATCGATTGCAGTACCGATGGAAGTAAGTAGTGATGATACTGATCTGTCTCCTGGAGAAAGACTGAATATACGGATTATACTACATTGCTGTGGGATTATAATTAAGCTATGCTAACCGCAGTTACTCAGTTGACAATGGTAGCGTACAGTAAAATGTAGAACGGCTCATATAAGTCTGAGCCATTTTCGTACCGTCATGATGTTATTCTGGGTGTTAGAGGACAGGTTTATAATGTGTTAGAGTACTTTTGGTTTATGTTTGTAAAACCTGACATCTCAGTGTTAGAGATGTTAAACGACTCTGTTTTCAATCCTCATTGTATCCGAAGGAATGGGAACATCATGCTAGTAAATTTGAGGTTCGGCAATGTGTCCGGGTGCAGTGACAATAATTCGATTGGTATTATCACTTCGAAACACCGGCCTCGGTGTTTTTGTATATGTGTTACGAACTTGATCCCAGTGGCTTCCACACTGTGGTTTAATTTAATAACAGCAAAAATGGATGGCAAGGTAGTGATTTTGATTTTATATTTGGCGCCTTGGTATAAAATTCGTTATGTTTAGCGTCTGCCTGTTTATTATGACTTTGGTTGATGTCCTAGAAATGATGCGAATTAGTGGCTTGAAGCGTCCTTCGTGAATGTCTTTGTATCTAAACTATACCTCTTAGTCTACATTAATCTCGATCACTCATCTTTTTTTATTGTACTTCCCTTCCCTTTATTTCTTCACAATACTATTTCCTTATTTGTATAGAACATACCTTTTTTGTTGCCTATTTGTACCAGAATTAACGCATATTAGATAAAGTAGGATTCTACGTATAAAACTGACAACTTGTAGAGAAATGTTGGATTAGTGGTTGTGATCTGATTTCTCACCGCTTTATTTGAAGTATGATAAAGTAAATTAGTGTATTTTTCTAGTACTGCTGTTTATTATTCACTATAGAACTGCACCAATTTTTCAGTACTTTTTTATCTCATTTGAAGATTCATCAACTGAAAACAAAAGCCTATTAGAATATCATGTATACAATTTTGATAAGCAATGCAGACTTTAGTACTGAATAACCGTATACGTATTTTACTTCCTTCTGTTCAAACTTTTCTGGTTTCATTATCAGTCAAACAGATGATAGAGATACGTAGAAGTAAACCTTGTTGAAGTTGACACATGATAGTTTTCACTTTGAAATACACTATTTGTTGAAAGTTTTAAGTACTATTCTTGTTGTGTTGGTATATGAAGCACATTTATTTTTTTGACAGAAATATTTCACAACGGTTCATTGTAGTAGAATAAACTTATTTTAAACGCCCATTTTATCATTGTTTATTCCATCTTGTAGATGGTTATGTGTCTGATCAAAGCTAGTCCAGGTACCTGTTGGTATTCTTTAATGACCGATAACTGGAAGGCCAATCCACTAGTTCTTGATGAAATGGAACGAAACCTTACCATTCAGAGACTACAAATAGAAAACCCTGGTATGGACTTTAGCTCAGCCGACATATCTGGAAACTATCGTAACGGTGGACCAAAATTTCCTGCATGACTTCAACTCAACATACTGTCATCTTTTAAATAAAGATAATTTCTGTCAATATCTCCACTTTTATTCAATTTATATGTGCAATAATTCATAATAATTAACGTACATTGTCTTATATTTCAGAATGTGGATAAAACCTTGCTTAACAGAACTTTTGTTCGAAGTTCTGTGTTGGGAACACTGAGGTGTCCTGAAACTAGAACAGATGCGTCTCCAAAAGTTGAAGACTTTAATCTCTCTGGTCAAGAAGTAAAAGATTTTTATGAATCACTTACACAGTGCGTAACTCAAAAGTTGGAATACTCGTCACTTGGTTCAAATTTATATAAATGTTCCGTATGTGGTGGATCTTATAGTGATTTTAAGAAACACGTTTCATCCATTGGTCATCAAATGGCTGAGATGTCAGAAAAAAGTTCGAAACCATCGCCGTTGTTAATTCCTCCTTCAAATAAAGGTTACCAACTTTTAACTAGAATAGGTTGGCGTGATGGTGCCCTCGATCCAGGATATGAAGAACTGAAGACTTCGAAAGTACTGTCTGGCATTTCAACTAACGAGTATAAATCACGTTTCTGCATTAAAAATGGCGGTTTAGGTGCTTCCAGACAAGGTCGACGCTTTCCTGTAGCAACTGTTTTAAAACGCGATCGTCTCGGTTTTGGATGGCCGAATAAAACAAATACTGCAAGAATTACACATTTCAGCGCAGGTGATTCAAAAGCAGTTGAATATCCCAAAGATGTGGGACGACTTCGTCACTCATCCATTAAAATGGACTCGAAATATATGATAAGGAAAATGAATTTAGAAAAGAAGAAAGAACGTATTATAAGACAGGGGTTTAATTTGACTGATGAACAGTTAGCTTTGCTCTATGACAAATGAACGTTTGAATCATTTCATATTAAGTATAGTTATTTTTTTCAGTATATACTGTACATAATTATCGAATTTATTTAAATCTACGTTCCAATTTTTGTCAATTCTATGTTAAGTTGATTACATTATTTGCTGTCATTTTGTTGAAATCGAAGTAAAGTGAGACAGTAATCCTACGTGCTGATGTTTTTGGAAATAAAATCACAGCATGCCCCAATTAAAAAGAATATCTTAGTTAATAAAGTAGTCATTTATTTAAAACTTATGGGAAACATATACACGCAACAAGATTCGGGATATGCGCTCACACCTATTCATGTTCTATACCTTGTAATGTGTTACAAATAGTTATCCTAAGGTGCTTTATCGAATAAGACCAACAGTGTCTAAATTTGATGAACATAGGCCTTCATTTAGCCTACCCTATCACTGTATTCCAATTTTCGACTCTTTTTCAAGGTGTGTGAATAAATTTCATCCTTGTCGAGGGAGTTTTCCTGTGGTTGGTACTGATTTCATACTATATATCTATGTCGTCGAACCTCGTAACTTAAAATTTCAAGGGTTTTGAAGTATATATTATGAAGTTCTCGCAGCTCAATTTTTTTAGAGTATTAACCTAGAAACTATTAAGACGAAGTTCATTTGAGCATATTTTGTCTAACATTTTTTGTTATAAATCAAACAGCCTGAGATGTTACTAGAAATAGTTCACAGTCTAATTAATCAAAGGCTCTGTTGAAGTTCTCCATGATCTCCCATACTAGGCAGTCAAGCGTACTTTTAAGCCATTGGTCAATATTTTGACTTGCAATCGTAAAATTCGTACATAAATCATTTGAAAAATATTCTCATGTTCTTTAGTCAAAACATTCGTCTGAGAAACCAAACGGTGACGTGTGTGTTAGAAATTAAGCCGTTTATTGCTAGTGTCTTTTTTTGAGGTCTAAACATGACTCAGATGTTATAGGCTAAATTCAAAACATTTATTGATAATTTCTGAATATACGGCTTAATCATCCATATAAATGCTGAATGAGTCATGCACGCTTCGTAAAGTTAATTCCTAATCATTACCTCAAGTGGATTTCTAAAGTTAATAGAAATGATCCAACTGGCCGGTCCATCTACTGGCATAGTAAGCAATTTTTTCTCCTTTGTTAAAAGAGCATTCGAAGTTACCACATTTGATTTACCGAAAATGTGTCCTCTATGAGGTTCTACTTTTTGTTACATTACTATTAAGCAACCTCTTACATGTCCTGTAAAGTCATATGAGTGATAGTCGTACTATATTGTTCATTAACCGACAATCATGTGTTAATGGGTTGGAAACACAATCACATTAACTTAAGAAAGTCGTGTCGTCATTGAACTGTATTTTCTTGTTTTATTACAGATCACTATATTACTTTACTTACTCCTAATGGAGCATAGGCCGCCGACCAGCATTCTCCAACCCACTTTGTCCTGGGCCTTCTTTTCTAATTTCATCCGATTCTTGTTCATTTTTCTCATGTCTATCTCCATTTTCCGGTGTAATGAGTTCTTTGGTCTTCCTCTTTTCCTTTGGCCTTGAGGATTCCATGTGACGGCTTGTCTTGTGACGCAGTTGGGTGCTTTCCTCAATGTGTGTCCTATCCACTTCCAGCGCTTCTTCCTGATTTCTTCCTCCGCTGAGATCTGGTTTGCTCTCTCTCACAGTTGATTGTTGCTAATAGTGTCCGGCCAACGGATCTGAAGTATTTTGCGTAGACAACTGTTAATAAAAACCTGTATTTTCTGGATGATGGCTTTCGTAGTTCTCCAGGTTTCCGCCCCGTACAGTAGAACTGTCTTGACATTTGTATTGAAAATCCTGACCTTGGTGTTGGTTGACAGTTGTTTTGAGTTCCAGATGTTCCTCAGTTGAAAATATGCTGCTTACTTTGCCAATCCGCGCCTTCACATCTGCATCAGATCCACCCTGTTCATCAATGGTGCTGCCTAAATATGTAAAGGTTTTTACATCTTCCAATTCTTCTCCGTCAATTGTGATTGGATTGTTGCATGTTGTGTTGCATCGTAAAACCTTGCTCTTCCCTTTGTGCATATTGAGACCTACTGCTGCTACACTGTTCGTCTTCTCCAGCATTTGTTGTTGCGTTTGGGATAGAAGGGCCAGATCATCTGCGAAGTCCAGATCGTCCAACTGCATCCTAGATGTCCATTGCATCCCGTGCTTCCCTTCAGATGTTAACGTCTTCATGATCCAGTCGATCACCAGGAGAAAGAGAAAGGGTGAGAGTAAGCAACCTTGTCTGACACCGGTCTTTACTTCGAATGAATCTGTGACCTGTCTTCCTTGCACAATTTTGCAGTTTAATCCATCATACGAATTCCGTATGATATTGGCTATCTTCTGAGGCACGCCGTAGTATCGAAGAAGCTTCCATAGTGTTGTTCTGTCCACACTATCAAATGCTTTCTTTTAGTCAATCGAGTTGATTTAGAGTGATGAATTCCGTTCAATTGATTGTTACACAATGATCTGTAGAGTTGCGATTTGGTCTGTACATGATCTATCCTTACGGAATCCTGCCTGTTGGTCACGATGTTGGGCGTCTACGCAGTCCTTCATCCTGTTTAACAATACCCTGTTGAAGACTTTTCCCGGTATTGAAAGAAGAGTGATGCCCCTGTAGTTATCACAGTCGTTGAAATCGCCTTTCTTCGGTATTTTGACCAGAAGTCCTTCTTTCAAGTCTTTTGGTATCTGTTCCTCATCCCGAATTTTATTGAAGAGAATGTGGAGCATGCTTGCAGTTACCGCCACATCTGCTTTCAGTGCCTCTGCTGTAATGCTGTCTGATCCTACTGCTTTGCTACTCTTGATTTGTCTGATGACCATGCCGATTTCTTCAACTGTTGGTGGCCAACATTGGGACGTCCGTGGATGCTGCTTCAATGTTGGGTGGATTCAGTGGGGCTGGTCGATTCAAGAGTTCTTTGAAGTGTTCTACCCACCTGTTTCGTTGTTCATCCATGTTGGTGATTACTTTGCATACCTTGCTTTTCACTGGTCGTTCTGGTCTGCGGCGATTTTCAGAGAGTTACTGTGTTATGTCATCCGTTTGTCTAATGTTTCCTTCTCTTGCGGCCTTTTCCAGCGTCATTGCTAAATCTTCCACATATTTACGTTTGTCAGTTCTGATGCTCCTCTTCACCTGCTTGTTTACTTCTGTGTATTCAGCTTGTGCCTTGGCTTTTTCTGCTCTTGTTCGACTGGTATTGATTGCTGCCTTCTTTTTCCTCTTTCTTGAATCTTATCCAGTGTATCAACGGAGCTAATACGAAAATTGCACAAAAAGGTCGTGTGTGACTTGCCTCAAGCCGTTGCCCCTTGGACACTGTTCATGCTATCAGGTCATTAAGACCAACTCTAACCCAATTTCCTTTTCAGGTACTACTATAAGAACACTTCCTCGGTGTGGGCAACCGGCATGTTAAAGCCGCTCTCATATCTCTAACAACATTCAAGACCGCTGTATTCATAATCAATTTCCCTCTTCAATTCCTATTATTCTTCCCATCTCAACTTTCAACTATAACTTCCTTTTTTGGCTTCTTCCCCAAGTGTAACCGTGGCCAACGATTCTAGTGAGCGAAACACTGTCCCAGGTCTACTGAAACCTCGCTCCGAACTACACATTGGAGCCTTCAACATACACACCCTATGCCAAATCGACCAGCAGGCCTCTTTGGTTAAAACCCTGTAATCTCGTACCGTTGATGTTTGCTGTGTCTTCGAAACACGCATACAGGATCTTAGTGTGATCATTCATTCGACCGCACCTCACCAAGGCGGGGAGCTGACAAAACACATCCTCCGTTTATCTGGCGACCTGATGACTAGTTCTCGTGGACTGGCTGGTGTAGGTATAGCACTAAGTACGAGGGCAGAACAAGAACGACGACGAGCAGAGGTGGGCGACGAAAGTAAAAGCGATAGAAAAGGCAGCCGCTGTAAGTAACACCAGATATGCTTTTCGGACTAGTAAAAGAAACTGATGCTAAGAAGTCAAGTGTAAGTGAGACGATCTCAGGAAAAGACGACAGTTTTATCTGCTTTTAGCCCAGACGTCCTGAACGATGGGCGGGACACTTTAAGGAGCAGTTCAACTGATCTTCAGCTACTCTACAACTTCCCAGGATGGACAACAGCAGATATGAAGATATCATGGTACGACGTGGACTGTCTTTGAGAAAGGAACGATAATGGTGAGAGATTCGCGAATTCATGTGCATTCAACAAGATGGTGTAGAGCCAGTGAAATGTCACTAAGCCCTAGCCAAATCATCCGGCAGTAGGGTCTTTGAATATCGAACCGATCATCGATCCTTGTCAAGGTCAAGTTCGTCCAGTGCGCCTTAGTTAGTGGTACTTCATGGACTGGCTCATGCGGTGGTAGACTTACTTTCGCTTGTATCTAGTTTAACTAATATATTTCTGTAATAACGTCCTTTGTGTTGTACAGTCTTCAAAGCAGCTATAGTACTTTGATCCGTCAATGGGGTAACCCACGTTAGGTGCTGACCATGAGATGTGACTTCGACGTTAGCTGGTTCGTCACACCATTCCCGTCTAACTCGATTAGGCCTCCATTCATTCGATATAGATCGTCTACGCTGATGATTTACAGTCATTATAGGCGGCCTCATTTTACAACACAAACGCATTCACTAAGTTACATGGGTCTCACCGGATCACAGTACGCAGAACTAAATCGATCATATTTGCATTAGTAAAAAATTCAAAAGTAAGAACAAGAAGACGGCAATTAACGACTGCCGAATAAGAAGATAAAATTAAAGGCTGAATACACAGGAGCAAGCAATCAAGTGAAGAGGAGCATTAGTGCTGACAAGCAGGAACACGTGGAAGAGCTAGCAACGACAGCGGAAAAAGCTGAAAGAGAAGGAAATATGAGGCAGCTATATGACAAAACGATGAAACTGGTGAGGAA